AGTTTTAATTAACTTCATAGGTCCCACTTATATTATCCTGTGTCTTTTGGCTAACTCACAAACCTTTGCTCATGGCATACAATACTCCTTATATATTGAGGTCACAATCTGTAGCTATGTAATTAGTTTTAATAGTTTCCCAAACTTTTGGAATGTTCTTTTAAATAGTGTGTGTACATGGCATGTATCTTCCTATTACAAATGTGAACTTTGGATAATCCAAAAGAGTAGAAAATGTAAATCAACTGTTATAATAATAATAATCTTATCATCCCTTAAGTGGTACTGAGTTTGTAAAGATCAAGTTGAGGAGGGAGATCTTTAAAGTAGCAACTGCTAAACTGGCAATGGCAGTAAGTTGTATTCTTCTGCTTATTAAAATATCAGTGCTCTAGAGGCTTCAGATGGTTCGGTGGTTAGGAGGACTTGCTTTCAGAGGGGCCAAGGTTAGATCCCAGCACCCACATCATATGGCTCACAACTGCTTCTAACTCTAGCTACAGGAAGATCCATTGCCTCTGAACTCTGTGGACACCTGTAACTCACACATAGTTTAAAATAACAAAACTATAAAAAACCTGAAAAATACCAATGCTTTACTATCCACTAGAGCTTTAAGACAATTTGATACTGTATATTAAACTTAAGGGAAACTCAACAAGTGACATTGCATAAACTTTAATCATCTTCGTGGAAAATGTTCTTACAGAAAATCTTCATTGAAAATCTTACAAAATAACCCACCTCAATACTAAACATCTCTCCAGGCATTAGGGAGAGAATTGGGTGAGTTGGAGGGAAGAGAGGTAAAAATACATGAAAGCCAGAAATGCTATTTCATTCTGTTTTCATGTTATTAAGCACAAAAGAAAGCCCACTAACATAGAGAAAGAAAATTACTCTGGGGCTGGTTCATAAATTGAATATCCATCTGGATATGGTGTCACTCACTTTTTTATTTTTATTTTTTATTCTTAGCACAGCACCTTGCCAGCATTTCCTAATATAGTCATAGAGTAAAAAATTTTTCATGGTCTCATTTTTGCACTTACTATCTCTCATTCCCAGGTAAGTGGTTTTAAAAATAATGTATGCTGTGTGTTTGTGGATTCTTTGCCTCACTCATGGGCTTATTGGTTATCCCATGCATTTTTCTGTGGCTAGCCACTCAACTCTGAAGCTGCTCTTTAGCTTATGATTCATGCCGTCCTACTCACTATAGCAGGCCTTGGAGCAATTGTTCTGGTGTTGTCAAACATGTCATTATCTTCTTATAATTTCTGTTTTTGTCCCTCATCCTGCACACCCTGGTTTCTTGCCAAATATGAAAGGAAGAGTTCAGGACTAGTATAAAAAGTTCTATCTGCAATATAGGGTAAAAGTAGACATACCCGGAAATCCAGGTATTAGCTTGTTTGGCTATTCCCATAAGTCTCAGGTATCATGCAAAGGTAACGAGACAGAGAATGTTAGTATCTGTTTTGTGATCACCACTTTGACTTTTTCCATAATTAATTATCATTAGAAGCCTTTATATCCAAGTAGAGTTGTTATTTCAGTATTGTCAGTTACTATTTATTTATTAATATGCATACACATGCAACTTTATTCTGGGTATTGTGAAATATACAAAAACAGCAAAGGGTGAGGATCTTGGCAAAAGTATTATAGCAAAGAGCATTGGCATGGGCCTGGGCAGAGGATTATGGTATCTAGTCTCAAAGAAAAGGTTTGCTTCACGTCTTCTGGGAGAATGATATATTTGCTCAACACCTAAACAGTGCCTTTAACATAAAGAGCTCACACTGATGTAGCTGGTTGCTGCTGTGCTGTTTTAAGCCATCTGTTGGCAAAGGCTGGACTGCATAGGCTGGTTTACAAAGGCAGAAACACCCAGAAATGCTTGATGAGAGCAGTGATTGCTAAAGAAATATTTTGTATTTTTGGGATAGACTTTAACTGAAGAAATCAAGAGAGGGCATGAATAGGAAAACTATGTGGAAAATGATTCATCTGGAGAAATCATTGACAAAGATGAGAGGTTGATATGATGGATCAAGGACTTGGGGTTGTAGAAAATGGAACTGAAAAATGGTGGGTATTTGTTAAATTTTGTGTATTTACTGATGCAGATTTAAACCTCGAATAAAGAATCAGCAACTCCAATATGTGGAGATCAATGTTTTTCCTTTCTAAAAACCTTTGATCTTAAATGCACTGCAGTCAATCTGATTATTTGTCTGAACTAGTCCCAATAATTAGCCTGCTAGCATATAAGCTATTTCAAGAGTAAATAGGCTATCTTGGAACACTGGTTTCAAAAAGAAAGGGACTTGATGCTCTGATGTGGAAGGGAAAAAGAAAAAAAGAAATGAGATGCTTAGAATTCACAGGTACATCTGAGTCATCACCTTGGCAGAAGCTGGAATACCCATGGGATCTGCAGCAAGTAGGCCTATGTCCTCTTTTGGAGGTTTTCTTTGTTTCTAATATACTTACTCTTTTTTTAAGTTCACATTCTCTTTTAAAAGTTACTATTATTCTTCCAATCTTCAAAAAGATTGAAGTTATTAACCTGCTCACAGGTCTTTTAAATTTTGTTTATACTTTCATAGCCAAGTGGCCTCCAGAAGCTGAATGTTTGAAGTCTTCCTCATTCAAGTTGACTTGTTGGATATATAAGGATAGCCCAGTGGACACCTGGAGGTTTACTCATTGACTCAACAGTTTACTCACTGAATTACTGGCAGGAAAGGCTAATTTTTCTTTACAGTACCAGCCACGTACACGATTCTTTTAGTCACTAAAACAGAAATTCTTGCATAATCATGGAGCAAGTCCAAAGTCCATGAGATGCATGTCTTCTATTATCCAAACATGTATTACATCACTGAGTTGAGTTGATAAGCAGTTCTGGAAAACCATTACACATATATACTATTTGTGTCAATTCTCATTAGAGCAGGTAGATGCATATGAAGGACAGGAAAATCCCGAACAGAATATGGTTCTTAACACAATGAGTGTTTTATTGGCCCCAAACTCTCCTTTTAAATGACTTGGAAGGGTCTTGACATTTATACTCACTTCCTGAAGGAAGTAATTAACTTCAGAAATAAAGGGGGGCAGTTATAAGGCTCAGCCAGCCTTGGCATGCAAGTCTGGAGACTTAAAATTGAGTTCCTGAAATTCGTGTCAACTTGACAGGAGGGAACATTCTACTAAGTTGTCTTTTGATCTCCACATATGTGTCCCTCCAATCAAAATGAACATAGAAGTCTCTAAGGATGCAGATATTGGGCTGAAGAGATGGCTCAGTGGTCAATAGCACTGGCTATTGCTCTGGATGGTCCAGGTTCAATTCCCAGGATTCACCTGGCAGCTAACAGCAACCTGTAGCTCCAGTACTAGAGGATTTGAATTCTATTTTGGTCTCTGAGGGAAATACATTCAGGAAAAACATCCACATAGATAAAAACTAAATCTTAAAATTGCATATATTACTTATGAATGTAACTATAGTATGATGGGTTACTAAAAAAATTAGTCCTAGGATGGATGAGTTTTGGTCACAAAATGGAAAGGGTGTGGGGTATAGGAACACTGTAAGGAACCTGATAAGGACTCACAGCATATTATAATCTCAAGGTAAGTAGGAAGACCAATGAGAACATTTAGATGAGAAGGATTATAAAAGAATGGGAAGGACTTTTAAGATGACATGACTATCTCTTGGAAGTGTAGACTAGATTTGTAAAACTATTCCGAGCTAGAATTACCTTTGTATAAAGTATATTTTACTACTATTAAAATGGGCATATACCAAGTATTATGCAATCTTATTTAAGGATACATTTGAAAATGCTCTTGTCAATATATCCAAAATGTTTTTAAGTTTCAAGGCAAAAACACACAACTCTACAAAAATTATCCTTGTAATTTCTACCTTCAGAAATACTTTTACTTTTATTTATTTAATATTTTAAATAAATCTATTTAACTGGGTAATTTAAAAATAAATTGGGGTCCTTATATGATTCTATAAAATTACAACATTCAAAACTACAGGTTTCTTTAATATATATAAGTGTTGAATTATTTCAGCTCAAAGAGAACAAGAAAAGAATGGGATGTTGAATTTGTTTTATATTTGTCAATTTAAGTTAATTTTAATACAAATTTAGATGTACTTTAAAAAAGAGACATGTCACCATTAACATGAAATGAAATAATCAGTTCTTTCTTGGTATATACTTAAACAAAAGTCCATGGAATTTTATTCTATTTCAGGGGAAAATGACTTCTTATACCAATCAATTTGTCCAATAGAAAATAGATCGAGGAACTATACCAACTTTAGCTATTATTCCTGAAGTAGTTAACAGAAAATACCAATTAAAATATGCACCATTAAAATTATCATATGACAGAAAAAAATTAAGTAAAAAAATAGGGCTAGAGAGCTATATCAGTGGTTTAAAGCACCTGTTACTGTTTCAGAGGACTTGGGTTCGATTCCCAGCACCCATGTGGTGGTCCACAACTATCTATAACTCCAGTTCCAGAGGATCCAATACCCTCTTTTTGCATCCTTGGACACTAGGCACACATTATACAGGCAAAACACTCACATATAAAACAAAGACAGAAGAAAAGAAAAGAAAAAGTCACTAAATAACAGCTGGGAATGATGGGACACATCTTTAAACCCAGCACTTGGGAAACAGAGGCAGATCAATCACTATGAGCTCCAGACCTGGTTTATAGAAGAAGTTCTAGGCCAGCCAGCACTACATAGTGAAGTCCTGTCTCAAACAAATAGACAGGCAGACAGGCAGGCAGACAGACAAAACAAAAACAGGCAAAAATAAAAAAAAGTTAATCATGTTAAAATAGCAGAGTTGCCATGGTGCTAACTGAAATATTTTTATGGATACCAAAGCAACCTCTTGGTGAACCAATCAATCTTTATACCTTAGATCAAAGGAAACAGAGGAAGATTTCAAACTCATTCATCATAAATCTTTATAATTAAATACATGTATGTATGCATTTATTTATTTATTTATTTATTTATTTATTTATTTATTTATTTATTTAGAGTGTTTGTGTGTGTGTGTGCGCGCGCGCGTGTGCACACTCTTGTGCATGTGCACATATGCCACAGTGCATATGTGGAAGTTCTCAGTTCTTTTCTCCTCCATGTAGGTTGTAGGATTGAATTTGGGTCCTCAGGTCTGGTGGCAAGCTCCTTTACCACTGATCTGTCCTCCTGGTTCTCCTTTTGTTTTCATTGGAACATTTGTTTTTAAAAATTGAAGTAGGTGTAAAAATGTATCTCTAACCTATTGAAGGCACATTTCAAAGTCTCAAAAGCACTGCTTGACCTTTGTAGATGATGTTCCATAATCAGACAAAACTGAGCAGACTTTTAAAAAGATCCCAAAGAAAGCACATGCAAATTAGAGGCTGCCAAAAGTTAAACTCGGCCAAAGAACTTGCTGTGGGTTACACAACTCCTGTCTTGTGCTTCTCTTTACTAAATGCTGAAAGACAAGACCAGACACGTCTCCTCTTCTTATATTGCATTGGATGGTAATTCAAAGATCTTTCTGGGGAAAGAGGACATAGAATCTTATTTATATTTTATACTTTTACTGTATTTTAGCCTTGACTAGTAACATTTTAATGGCTGGCCATGGGACCTGATTGCTAAAGCTCGTAGATAGCAGAATCCCATGGGAAAAGGATTATCCACGAAAACTATTATGTTCCTCATATTTGATGATAAGAAACAATAGGCAAGACCTTGAATACTTATAGTGCAGCTGTAAGAGAGACTTGCAGGCTGGAAATACAAAACCTGACAAAATGACAAAGCTAACTAAGTCTGTTGCTATTGGGTCTGAGACAAGTTTATTCCTCTCCAAATGTCTGTTCCCACTGTTTTAGATTACTTCTATCATGCTTAGTTTAGTGTGTGTGTGTGTGTGTGTGTGTGTGTGTGTGTGTGTGTGTGTGAATTCCCAAAATATTTGAATGACACACACACTTTAATATATATATATATATATATATATATATATATATATATATTGTGTGTGTGTGTGTGTGTGTGTGTGTGTGTGTGTGTGTGTGTACACTGTAGCTGAAGTTTTCCTGTGTCCTGCCTGGCCTGTGGTAAGGACAGATCTCTCTCACCTGTCAGTCCCACAGCTGCTTGGACCCAAGTAAACACACAAAGGTTTATATTAATTATAACTGCTTGGCCATTAGCTCAGGCTTATTACTGACTAGCTCTTACACTTAAATTAACCCATAATTCTTATCTATGTTTAGCCACGTGGCTTGGTACCTTTTCTCAGTTCTGTTTTGTTATCTTGTTTCCTCTGTGTCTGACTGGTGATTCCTGACTCAGCCTTCCTCTCCCCAGAATTCTCCTTGTCTGCTTGTCCCGCCTATACTTCCTGCCTGGCTACTGGCCAATCAGTGTTTTATTTAGCAACCAATCAGAGCAACACATTCACAGCATACAGAGTGACATCACCCATCAGTATACAACTATTTAGATGGGAAAAGGAGTTGATGGCAACTTGGCCCTTTTATACTTCCCTTATTTAACACCTGGCTTTTTAGATGAGCTTTATCGTTATCTCTACTCTTTTGATTTTTACTGTTTTTGGAGGCAGGCTCTTTTATAGTGCACAAGATGGGCTGACGGTTTCCCTGCCTCACTTTCCTGGGTGTTGAGCTTTTAAAAAGCTTCCTAATGCATTAAAAAAATCTGTTTTCATTGTTGCTGATCTATCTCTTTATCTCTTCTTTATTGCTCCTCCTTTTCATTTATTTTCCTCTTCTATTTTATTTCTATATTGCTCTCTAATACTAATCACCTTATACTACTTTCCCCTTCCTACTCTTGGTAACTAATTTCCTAGTACATACTATACTATGTTTTAAAATTCATTTTCCCCAAAGTTATTGTACTTGAAGTTGTAACTGTTTTAAACTGGCTAATGCTATAATTCCATAACAGACTAACTCAGTAGTGGCGGTTACTTCCACAGTTAGGACTTGCAGACTGGTGCTGATGATCATGCCTGGTGTCCTGATCACTTGGCCTGAGAGTCTAATTACCAAGTTATACCACCAGTTCAGAAACTATATTTCAATACTACTTAGTTTCATCTGAACATTGTAAGTATTTCAACCAAATAATATAGTTGATAAAAAAATCACCCAGTCACATAATAAAAAATTCACAATTCCTAAATGTTAAATATAAGGAACATGAAAATTAAGACAACTTGGCTCTTCCCAAATTACCAATTCCACAGCAATGGATTCCAATTAAAGTGAAGTCTTTAAAATCCCAGACAATGAATTAAAATGACTTTAAGAATGTGTAGTGAATAAATGTAGGAAAAGTAAAATAACATCCCAAATCACATCTGACAAACATGGCTTAAAGCTGGATATCAACAGCAATACAAATGACAGAAACTAGATAAACCAATGGAAGCTAAACAAAACAACTCACTTCTGTATAAAAATTTGGTCAAGGCAGAAATCAAAAGAAAATTAAAGACATTTTAGAACAGAGTGAAAATTAAAATGCAGCATTCCAAAATCTGTGGGACACAATGAAGGCAGTTCTAAGAGGAAGGTTCATAGCACCAAGTGCTTACATTAAAAAAAAGTGGAGAAATATCAGATAAATACCTTAAGGATACTCTTGAAAGCTTTAGAAAAACAAGAAGAAACAGTATCTAAAGAGAATAGTTGGGAGAAATAACCAAACTCAAGGTTGAAATTCACAAACTAAAAACAAACAAAATATGGCCGGGCGGTGGTGGCGCACGCCTTTAATCCCAGCACTCGGGAGGCAGAGGCAGGCGGATCTCTGTGAGTTCGAGGCCAGCCTGGGCTACCAAGT